TCCTGGTAGGATGCATGGGCATATTCCAACGTCAAGATTCAGGTAGGCGGTTGACAATCTTCAAAACATCTATTGTGATAGGAAGGGGAGAATAAAACCAGGGGAACAACAACAAGTTACACACGTTATACTGTTGATTGTATATGATTGGTGGGTTCCATGTGACTGGAACTCGTCTTCTCTTGCTCTTTCTCGCGCGCGGGTGTGGAATTCCACGACGGTTCATCTTCACGTGCTTGGCTCTCAGAGGCGGAGTGCACGTCTAAAGACAATGTGCATATATATATATAGTTGTACTGTAATTGGGCCAAAGGGCTACCGGCACAGCAAGGCTTCAACAATGCCACACAGCAAGATGGTCTCGAGAAATGATCCACTCTTCAATCCTGTCCAAATTGTTCTGCTCTTTTGCCAAATTGAACCTATATACAGTACTGTTGTTCTTCAAAAGAACAGGCAAAAGTTGAACCATGTCTTTGAACCTCTTGTCAACTTGTGACCAGGAAAACCCGTCGCAAAAAACACCAGACTACTGGTGCAATAAACACCGTACTAGTCACCGTAGCAAAAAACACCGGTCACCGTAGCAAAAAACACCGGTGACTCGTCGAAAAAACACCGATCTACATAACTGTCTGGAAATACCCTGATTACTGTCGCAAAAAAACACCATTCCCCTTGTCAACAATCCTGTTCAATCCTCCTCTGTTCAGTTCTTTTTTGCCAAACCTACCATTGTCTTTCAAGAGTCTGGCTTCTTGAAGAATCCGGGTTCAGTGGCAGAACGATCCTAAAGGTCCCACAACACCAAAGGAAAACCCAAAGGAGAACGGCCGGAAAAAAAAGCACCACGTTTTATCTGCCCACTGTCCACCTGGTTCTGTGAAACGTGTCAACTATAGTGGGAGCAAATCCAACAGCATCATTTAGGAAAACGGAAACACTGCAGTATATATAGTCAGAAGATCTTGGAAGAAGTGACCTATGCCAGAATGAACATCACAAGCCATATGTGGAAAGCTCCCAAAAAAACAAATCCCATACCAGATCGACATCTGCAGTGACATTCTTCGTCTTCGCTGCATCTTCGGTCAGGGACTCAAAAGAGATGATGTTCAGACCTTGGCTAATCGCCGGGAAAGCAAGACTGGAATCCGTTCAGAGAGAGAGAGAGAGACAGACAAACAAACAAACAGAGAGAGGGAGAGAGAAATGTGCCTCTCTGGTGGTGCGGGATTTCTTGTGAAGCAATTTTTCGAACATGTTTGAACTCAGTAGGATGTCACTCCAAAAGAACATGTTTTGTGTCTGGGAGATGGTCGATGGTCCGTGCATGAGCAGCCCTCCTTGGAGAGGTAGCCGAGTGATTCCATCGAATACAACAGGCACAACATGCGCCAGACCATCCATGGAACTGGCCGATTTACTGATCAGTTGGGGTGGTTGGTTTCTGGGCTGAAAGTAGGCCGGCATACATTTGGGGTATATCCTATTACCTGCAACAGTGGATGATGATCGTTAGGTTGCAGACCATTTCTCTACAAAATAGTGATTTGCAAGTATTACAGGTCCAAACCCCAGTCCCATATTCCAGCACTGGAGTGTCTGGTGCCGGGATCCGCATATGCGTGCAGGTCACAACTGGTTCACGGTTCGCATGACCAGGTCATACCCACAACCAAGCAGGGCCAGGAGGGTCCAGCGGAAGTAGCTCGGCAACGGAACGTGGATGTTCTCAACTGGGTGAGCTTTTCAGGGCACGCTCGGGGCAAATATGCAAATACTGTAGATTCTGTGTACACGGAAACTCTGCTTGATCTCAAAGCGGCTTGGGGAGTGTGGATGGATGTGGATGGATATTCTTGAAGTTTTCAGGATTGCTTCAGGTCCAGAAGATACCACCCAACTTGGTGAAAATCCCATGGTGCCTTGGAGCAGCCAATGGCCTACCCTTGTTGGAGAAGGTTCTAAACTACAAGAACTGACCCATCCCTTGTTGTTCCATCAAAGATCTCAATGGCCTTGGTGGGTTAGTGCTGGTTAGTGGGGTAGGTGGTGACCTACAGCTACAGTTCCTTCTCCACCAACCAATCCTCGCCACCTCCGCTGCAATTCGCAGTCGGACGACACCACGATCTCGCCCACCTCGGTCGACGATCCCAAAAGGCCCGATTCGGACATGCTTCGCCGGGTTCCGCGGAGGTTGCAGCAAGCTCCTTGAAAGAAAATAACATACTCTTGCACTCTCTTCCACTCACTAAACATGGACCTGGAGTGGAAAACCCTGTTCCTAGAGCAAAAATGTCTTCCCAAGGCCATACACTTTGTTGTTTGTCCTCCCTCGTGTTCAACACTTGAGACGAACTTGAGACCTCTCGGCCTTTCTCTGAGCACAGTTGAAAGTGGACCCCAAACAATAAAGGTACACCGGTTGTTTCTCGAGGTACACCCCAAACAAATCAAGGCTAAATCCAACATGTTGATTTCGAGATGCTCTTCGACCATAACAGTGTTTTGTCTTGCTAAAACTAGTACAGCCTAGCCAGTACTGCGTTCATCGGCTTTTGATTGCCAAGAGTGTTTTGGAGCTGAGCATTGTCCAACAAGTCTTAAAACAAGAAACATGTGATCCACACATTCCAGCCAGCTTCAGGCTTAATGGAAAATTAACAAGCTAAATGAAACTAATCTAACTATAACAACTAAAGCAAACAAACAACAAGATTACACATGCCTGCATTAAATGCCTCCTTGCAAATCTCACTTTCACTATCTTCGCCCTACTTTCCGCCCCGGGCCACCTGAAGGTGGGCCCCGCACCTGAAGGTGGGCCCCGCTGGGTTCCCAACTCACTTTCCCTCGCCCTCCGCGCGCTTCAGCGCTTTCTCATTGGACTTCAGTAAGCCTCACCGGCAGTGGACTTTGCGTGACGCGCTGCTAGCATCGCGGTGCGTGTCAGGTGTGCCGGGTCGACATGGTGCAAAAGGTGCTCAATGGTCACTTATATAGTCTGATATGGTCTGATAGTCCGAGTGTGTTGAGCACCCCAAAGATTATGACCAGTCTTGAAGGTGACAGTCTGGCACAGCTATCCTGGTCAAAAAGTGGACATTGATGAGTGACATACCAGAACAAAAATCGATCAGCAGGACTCCTCTACTAGCTGCCCATGTGTTTCAATATGTTTAATGGGTGTTAGCGCAAACCAAGAACAGTGACGCATTGCACGATATCTTAGTAGGTCTACCCTTGATCGTACATTCTTCTTTTTGTTAATCACGACTGTTGAACGGGAATCGAGCATTTGTGGGTTTGGACTGCTGTCTTACTTATGAGTTTTGTCTTCCCTGTCATTGGCACTCTTTGCTCTTGGCCTACCTGGCACGATATCCATGGGCACAAATCCCAAATTGCAGCAATTGCAGTTGCAGTACATTCTTTATGTGCATCTAATTAAGTGTCCTCAAAAAGAAGCATTTGGTGCTTGACAGGGACCTCTCAAACCCTTCTCGCCCAGAACTGCCATACTAGTAGCTGTGCCGTTTTCCAATGCGAACGCCGTCAAATGTAGGGATTTTAGTGATTTTCTGGCACAAAGGAGTGATCGTCATTGGGAGAGCTAGAGCTTGGTTTCAGCCACTGACGGGTGACAAACCATTCCTGACAATATATCTGACCTTGGTGATGTTCTCAGGTAGAAAAGCAAAATCCGACCTGCGAAGGTCTTTCGATAGTGATGAAGCACAGCCCTTTCCATAGATTCCACATGATCCAACATGATTCAAACTCAAACCGAAACAAACTCCAACCTGGATGATCTGACTTTTCCACTAAAGCAACACACTATCCGAACCCAACACACGCGATGCCCTTCCCGAAACGTGCCGTGCTCCACAGCCGTCAGGTGGCTGTAGCTCGTGAAGGCACCGATGTTCCCAATGATGGCAAAGAGCATGACCTCGCCCGCCGAGCCGTTTTTTCTACGGTGACAGATCCCAGTCCAAACAAAGCAAACAACGAAGTGGACTCAGTCCGGGAAGCATCAATCACATCGAAAGACCAAGCCTCTCAAAGAAGAATCTTTCGGAGAAAACATGTGGAGCTCTGGTCCAAGAAAGCAAGCTCTTCAGCTTCGGTCATTGTATTTGGCATAGTTGTGTCGTCTTTGTCCATGAAACGACAAATCCCGTGTGATGGTCCTCTCAATGCATTCAACAACTGGGGCATCTTTCTGAATCAATCCCTTCGCCGAGGAGCCGCAGTCCAAACGCCGCCCGGCAAGGATTCCAAACCCATGCAAATGGAAAGCAAAATGGTTGCCTGGATGGAGCACTAGCTGGGTCTGGGCTCTGAGAGGAAAACAACGGATTGGGGACGGGATTCAGCGAGTGGATGAGCTAGGCGCACCCCTCCAAACGCTAGCCCTGTTGACTCCGTGGATGGCCTATCAGATTGGTTTCACTTGCAAGGTGCTTATATACACTGTTGGCAAAAACCAACATGATCAGATGTGGAAAAAAATCTACCGAACACCTGAGCAACTGAAGATTGTCAATCTGGGTCAACATGAACGGCCAAATCAGCGTTCATAGGTCTGGTGAGTGCCCTCCAATACATCAATACGTCCGCCGACCTTGATCTCATCGTTATTTGTGCAATGTGCAATGTATGCCATTCGAATGCTAAGCCTGAAACCGATACTGCAAACAACTAAGAAAACAAAAAAGCCGGAATCTTGTGCACGCTCCAAAAGGCTGGTGTATATAGAGGTTGTCCAAGAACATCAGCCCGTCTCCGGGATCGGCCACTCGCCGGTAACCCAAGTCACGAAGACGGGGGGCCATAACCAATTGATGATATGTCCAGCCCTTTACGCATGTAGTGCGAGGTTTGGGACCGAAGTCCGAGCACTTGAGAGCACAGACCAGCGACTTTAGTGTCAACAAGTCCACCACCCGGAAGCGAAAGGATCTCTCTCTCTCTCTCTATTGGCTGTCTCTTCAGGGCACAGCTTTGTTGAAGTTTCCCGCAAAGGCAGCATGGCTGGCGGACAACTTCTGCACCACTGTGTACTGCAACACATTGTAGCCTGCAGGGGCAGGACAATTTGTTTGTGCCCTCTTGCAGTTCCATACATGGCACTTCACTATCTTCGCTTACATATATGAGTTGGCATGGTGGGGCTTGACAAAGACCTGACAACACGTCGGGACCTGGAGAACAAAAAAAACACGCATCGACTTCCTTTGCCAGTCAAGACCAGTGCTACTGAGACCGACGATTTAATTCATGCACTCGTGGAAGTGAGTGTTCAGGAGAAAAGCAATGCAAAAAACAGACTCCGACTCTTCACTTCCGCAGCAATCCTCTTGGCGTTGCGAGCAGTGTCCGAGGCTAGCAGCCACAGGCACATCCGTCAACTCAGCTACAGGATGGCCCTTCATGCCTTGGAAACCAAGCCAAGCACCCAGTCGAAGACTTGAAAAATGTTCCTTTCGAACATGACAACTTGCCAAAAAGTCTCCCAACCAAGCCATGTCAGCCCACCTCTCACTATCAACCACCCTCACCCAGTCGAATGCCCCCCCCCGACCGATGTCGCCGGACCGACGATCGACCGACCTGCAGCGATGACGCCAGAGAGGACGACCCACATGACGGTGGAGGGGCTGAGCTCCATGACCTTCTTCAGGACCTGGTGCTAAGCTCCAAAGACTGGATTTCCAGACTTCGACCGGGCAGTTGCGGCAGTTGCGGCAGAGAAGCTGCCGGTGCGGCAGTTGTGCATTTGGTGAGATTATATTGTTGGTGGGATTTTGATCTGGATTTTTGGAGTGGGGTCATCAAATGAAGGAAGACCTTGGAATGTTGAGCAAAATCTTAGCATGTCACCACCTGAATTGGTCATTAGTTCAAGGCAACGGTGTTTTCATCCTGGACCTAGGACCACCACTTGCAAACACACTCCAGTTTGTCTGAAGATGCTCATGCAATCTGAGCTTCCGCAGAGTCCTCCACGTGATTTTCGTGTGTTGACATTTCTTCAAAATCTCACAGCCCCTGTAGCTTGACTGGATGACTTGACATTTTACCCCGCTGAGTTTTAGATGCATTGATCCAATCACCAATAAATACCTCAATATATCTCAATGTTCAATCTATGCAAGCATATGCAACCAATGTAATTATATATACGCCTTTGGTGTGTGGACATCGTAATACGGCAAAACACAAATACGTTCATGCTCCCTCCAAATGCGTTTTTCGTCAATGCCTATATGTTTAAATGCATCTGGCAAGCCCCAAATCTGGATCCATAACTATATAATGCCAACCATCTGATAGACGCTGCCTCTCTTCTTGGCTTTTGGTTCACCCCTACCGCACCACCGCCACGCCCGCTACGCCCGCCGACTGTTACGCCCGCCTGGGCATCGCTAATGTCCCCGAAGTTGGGCCAGTCCACTGGGTGCAGGACCCACAGGGAGGCTGGAAGGAGGAAGATGGCGCATGGGATGGCCATGTAGAAGATGGTGTCCACCTGAGGTTGTGGTGGTGTTTTGGTTGGAGAGAAAACGACTTTCCACAGAGGTGTCCACACACGGAAAAAGAGCCAAGTATGTATATATATATATACAGGGAAAAAGAAAACAAACTAGACTGGAACTGGTGTCTCGTGACATGTTGAGACAGAGAAAAAGGTTGAGAACGCTGAACAAAATACATGTGGTCTTTGATATATACCGGTAACAAACACGTAACTAGTGCTCTGATGTTCTCCCGTGGAGACGAGGCAGGAGACAAAAGCAACAACTGAACACAGTGCTCTGAGGTGGGCACCTTGAAGGGCAAACCATAGGTGTACAGGAACCTCCAAAGGTTGTCCCTTATAGGTGTTGATCAACACCAGTAGTAGACACGCGCAAGCCCAAAGAACTCCTATTCCTATATGAACATGTCTGCTAAAATCATGCAAATGTCATACATCATGTCAACTTGATCTCATTTGTCTTTCTACTGACCCAAACTGGCCGCCCACTCATGACCTTTCCTCTTTGAACAACAGAATCAGTTTGTGAATAATTTGTCTTTGACAATCCCCCCACGCAATTCATGATGACACGGTTTGCTGGACCACCCCGTCGTTCTCTCTGCAGGTTTGACGGGGGGGTCGTTCTCTCCGTCCGCAGTTGGGCGATTCAATGCTTCGAGGCGCTGGATTCAAGGCCGGCTTCAGGACACTGCCGAAGACGCTGGCCAAAATCAGGTTTACGGCGCAGGCCACATCCGACCTGCTTGCGCAGCGCAGCGGGTTGGAAGCAGCAGAACTGCTGGCCGGAGCTGCAAGGTTTCAGGGGGGGGTTTGGGTGCAAGTGTCAGTGTTCTCAGAGGCTCTCAGGTTCTGTTGACCCAGATCTAGTCTATCTTCCTTGGACAAAACATAAATATATGTTCTTCAAGTATTCCCATCTCAATCTCACTCACTCATCTATACTCATCTTCGTTAAAATATGTTAAAATATAACTATGCAACGATACATCCCATTGGACTGAAGCTGCTGCCGCGGCACAGGCTACAAACAAAGACGCCAAGCCCCAAGTGCTTAGACCTCAGAAAAGCAGCGTCTTTCAGGTTAAGAGCACTTTCCTCTCGATGTTCAATCAACAGTGACCCCCAACTTTGAATGTGCTATCACCACAAAACCACACACTGGTCCACCAACTAACGCCAAGCCATTTCCCTTGATTCACCCCCACAACCGCACCGCTGGACCTTTCCGACCCCGGGGTTCCATGGGGAAAATGACCGGCGGATGCACACCGAAATGGGAACAGGTCGCTCAAGCCTAACACAGCCTTCTACGACCTTGTTTCTTGTATTGATCGGTGATTTGTCATGTGGGTGTTGATCTAAATTCCTTTATCCGGGATCCGTCGTCTTAGCCAAAAAAATACTTTAGCCAAACTTTCGCCTTCCTGCGTTTTATCTTTCGCCGAAGTATGTTGTATTTGTGTGCGCCATGTATGTTGTATGATGGATATCAATTTTGTTCATGTCAATGGCTTCTTCTTTACTGGCAAATACAAAATAAAAGCTTCACTGCTTGTCAGCATGTGTCTTCTACTTAACTGTTGACACCCTGTATGTCTCTTTTGTTTATCCTGGGTGTCAGCAAGAATCAAAATTGCAAGAACCACTGTAGCCATATCTTTCGCAAAAAAAAACTTTGCCAACTCGAGAAAAAACTTTCGCCAAATGAGATTTTGATATGTTCCGGGTCATCGTCATCAACAATCCTGTCTAGGACCTTCAGATCGACAACCATGTCTTATTCAAGACCCAACTTTAGACCTATAACTTTAGACCGAAACTAGACCTTAAGAGGCCTTCTTTTCCATGTCCCTTCGTCCCGGTCCGGTCGGTCCGTCGTCCCGGGCGGTGCGTCATCCCAAGGCACTCGTTGTTGTGGGCGCCGTGGCTCTTCGCCAACGTCGCCAGCGCGGCGAAGAGAACGCCTGAACCCGACACGGGCGTCCGACCGTCCGGTTCTCCGACCGTTGCGGGTGAAAGGGGGTGTGATCGTCTGGGGTCACATGTGAAAAAGGACTGGTGGAAGGATGACTTGTGGTCAAGTGTTCTTCTCAGAATGGCTTCCATTTCTTCAAGCAATCCATAGTCCATAGTCCATTGCCCCCATATGCCCGCATGCTCTCACTAGGTAAACTGTCCCATGCCATGGAACATTTCCCTGCCTGCAACCATGAAGGTAACCTCGGACACGCGGACCTTGCTGGCTAAGTCCTTGGTTGCAACAGGGAACTGCAAACACTGCACGACATGATTTGTATCAGAAATTCCCAGAATTCAGAATGCCTCAGCCTCTCGAATCCAAGGTGGTTATCTCAGAATGAGTGAAACTCTCGAGCCAAGGAGTGTTGAACAATTTTCGTCTTTGCAGCCCAACCCTTTGGTTTTCAGGGATCGCCGAATCGCCGATCTTGAGACAATATACAACTCCCTACAACGCGCAAAGACAGCAAATCGAAAAATGTTAGTGGCCCAAGAACCCCTTTTCAGGACCCTGCTAAGACGTGGGTCGAACAATTTTCACTTTGTGGAATTTAACATGTCATGACCCCAAGACTGCCTCCAAGCCCTGCCCCTCACGAAGATTTGGTGTCCCATGACCCGTAGACTGTTTTTTGTTTGGATGTTTAAGCTAAGCCAAAGAGTCTGGGAAGCAAGGCCCCAGCACTTGTTGAAACACCAATGTCACCAGTGGCAAGCACGACCTGAGTTGCGAAATCATCCAGAAAGAATAAGGATGCAAAGGAATGTCATCAAACGGATCTTTCTGATGGAAGGTACCGGGCCAAAATAGCAAACATTGTTTATTCACATACTACCTACATACCTGGATGTTCCGTTAAAACCTTTCAACCTACCCTTGATGTCATTATGATCTATTATATAAGTATGTTGTTAGGCCGGAAACGTATGTTTGTCCATTCCATCACGTTTGTACTTACAAATGTCTGTTGTTTGTGGTTACACACCCTACAGGTCATTGTAATGGTCACTGTTTCGTCTCGTCCGATCGGTGAAGCCGCATGTGGGGGGCCCCCCTTGCTGTCCAAAGCAGCTTGAATGTCAATGGTGGGCGTCTCTGGGACTAAACAAAGTCATATAGATCCGGAAAAAAGTGTATTGGCTGACGCCCATGGTCACAACATCTCGCAGCTGGGGCAGCTAGATACCCTCCACAAGAGACTTCTGCACCACGGTAAATTAAGTCTACTTCCACTGCATACTCTGGCCAAACACCGCGAAAACGGCAAAAGCGCGTTTTTTGCCCTGTGGCCGGATGATCATGTTCAGCGACACCGCCAACAAGGAGAGGCTGAAGTTGTTCAAGCCAATATTCATCGAGAAGGCGAAGGAGAACAAAATAACACACGCCACCTGCCAAAAGCGGTAACAAAAACCTTTTCGAAACTACACTTGACGTCGCCACTCTGTGTGCGCGCGCGCTCGCCTCAAGCAGTCCCTGTAGTCCAGGTACTCCCGGCAAACAAGTCTGGCTCCCTCAGGTTATCCTTTTCCCCTTTTCCCCCCTTGCTTGCTTGCCACACCAATTCAAAAATATATCCACGCTTCATCAGTAGGGCTTTGGGCGGTTTTGGACAAGTCCAACAGCCCTTGTCATTCCTTGACCTTGTCACGAGAGCTGTTGATCGCACGGGAGGAATGCATGCAGTTGGTCAATCCTATGAGTCGCCTAGCGACTATACATGTTCACCTGTATCTGTTGACTCCAAGATTACTTCCAGTGGGTTTGCTGAGGTGTTTGAGAGCCTTGTAATTGTTGCAAATTAAGAAAGCAGGGTCATACCAAGACTGGCTTCAATGATTGGAGTTGACCGCGGATTAATTATAGTCTTTGTCAAAAGACCAATGCTGAAAAGGGTTCGACCTTACCTTATTTGTGGGTATGCTGGTTGTAAAAGACATCACATACATGCTCAGCAAAATCACACATGTCACATGCCACCTATATACAACACAAAGTAACTTCAGTAACCTCCCCTAACCCGTCATTCCCCACTAATGGCACTCACCTTCATTTAACAAATTAAATAAGCATGTTCAAAACAACACGTTTTTGGAGCTTCCCCATCTAACAATGCTGGGGTTAATGTATATAACTGGCCTCTTCCCTTTCTGACTTCTGGTTTCTTCTTTCGGTGCCAGTTGGGGGATTGTTGGGTAGAGTTCATCCAAGATCTTTAGTCGCTTCAATTGGCACTCAGTTTTTGACATAGTTTGAGAATGCTTGAGCTAGTTCCTGGGTCGGTGGAACAACATATGATGATTTCGGCCATCGACTCCCAAATAAGTCCTGAAGCTTCCTTCGCTAATTACATAGAACGAGCATCAAAAAGTCTTCATTCAAGCAAATAACGCTACACTCACTCAAAACACACGCATGGAAACCTCTCATTTCCAACCGATTGGCTGGGTTCACCACATTTCAACTTGCAGACATTTTGCGGCAGTTTGCAGGCGTTATGCAGATGTCCACCTTCGTTCCCCCCCAAAAATATGTTTTCACAGCGTCTCACAAAACGTTCAAAACCTCGCGCAAAACTTTAAAAAAAAAAAAAAACATGTGACACAAAATCCAGAAGTGTTTAGACTTAAATTTAAACCCAGGGTTCGCCCCAACAAAAACGTTCAGGTTGTAATTCATCTATATCCTCCATCTTATCCAAACAAATGACCTGATCATGGGCCGAGGCCGCTAAGGTGGCACATCTCTTGTCATCACTTCACCCTTCCAAGTGCGGCGGGTCGAGTGCCTCAGACCAGGTGTTCAAGCGTCGAGGCGTGTAGCGGAACGGCGTGACGTACAGCACCGCCACCACCACAAGGAGCCTCGGCCCGGCGGCGACACGGCGACACGGCTCGGGTTTGGCAGGGACAAAACAAGTTCAGGACAGGGTGAGTGCACCCAAGTCCAGCATGTTGCTGGTATACGCCAACCTGTATAGTGGAAACAATCCCCATTTCACATCCGTTCGCGATCATGTTCCTCCTACTAGGTGCGTGGGCTTACTGTAATTGCTACGTTTTTTGTCCTGTCCCAGTGGGCGGTTCCTTTGCCTTTATCCAGCCCGTCCGTCCGCCCAGCAAACTTGGCGGCAAGGAACACCATGAAGGCAACGACTTGCTGAATGGCAGTGACCAAGAACCCGGCTGGAATGCCATCGATGTTGAGCCTCGGTCTGTCGACCAGCCGCTAGAGAGCGATCCGATCCGATTTCGTGCTGGCCACCTGTGGACGGTTCATGCCCATGCATTCGAAGATATTCGAAGATTTGCTTTAAAACATGACAAGTTTTCCATACTTCGCCGATGACAAAATCCGCCCGCACCGAAGGTGCTGAGGGGCGGCATTGTTGCGTTGAGGTGCGAACACTGAGCTTCTACTAGCGTTCGGGGCCTTTATCATTCTTTATCGGTTGGGCACGGACATGCATATCCTGCAAATTCCTGCATCATGAGGTGTAGCCACCCGGGGAATTGGTGGAAGAAAACATGCAAAAACACAAACATAATGGCAGGTTTTGCAGCATTTCGTGTGGAGGTGGTGTGCCGTATGATCTGGGACAGGACATGAAGTGGTATGCTTGCAGTGAACGAATAGATTAAGATTCTTGAAATGATTTGTTTGTTTACCTTTCATGGACCTGGCGGTGCAAATGATGCAATAGCAGGACATTGATGAGATCAATCTACGGTATGTTACTTGCCATCTCTAGGTCCCTTCAGCACGACCAGCTTATTTGCAGCAATGCCTGCAAAGTGTGTATTTCCCATATATGTTTTCATTCATTCACTGCATGGTGCTCGTCATCTCTAGGTCATCATGCAAGCTGTACATTTTTCAGGGGCCCAACTAAGATCCAACAAAGCCTGCAGAGTAAGTACCGTTCAACCGATCATGCATGTTGCGCACTGTATTGCAATCACTCTATGTTCGAACTCGAGATGACAACTACCATGCAGTAGGTGAGCAAAGAAGAACTTGCAACCATTGCTGGAAGAAAGCTCGACCCCTGAAGAATGTAGAATTCAAGGGGTCGATAAACAGAGTGATTAATAGACAAGTGCCGTGCAGTGGATACATGAACAAAAAATAGGAAAAAAACACAAACACAGGCATTGTTGGGTATACAGTAAGTTGGACCCCTGAAACACTGACAATCTCAAGGAGGTCCAAACATAGCGTGATTCCAAAAAGACTCTACAAAATGCATGATAACCTAGAGATGACAAATACCATGCGACAAATGATTGACACACATATATGGAAAATAGACAAGTTGCAGGCAATGGGCGTAAGTTGGACCCCTTGAAACATGTGCAATTTCAAGGGGGTCAAACAATAGAGTGATTTCAGTAAACTACCTATAGAGTCCTGCTCATTCGGTCACGCATCGTCTGGGGTGTTGGCTTGGACATGAACTACCTTTCTTTGCCTTTCTTGAAGCAAACGGTGTGGGCGGTTGTGATTGCGAAGCAACATGAACATATATATATATAGTCTAATATCAATATATATAGTTATATATATATATACCCACAACATCCATGGGACTGACATATTTGCCCACATTGACCTTCAAAAAGAACCACCCCCATGCAAATATTCCATACATGGATTGTCTGTCGATTGGTGCAATCACTCGGACGTTGTGTTTGAAACATGGTCAAGTCTGAAGGGTGTTTTTGGTGCCCACAAGCCCACTGTTTTGGTGAGGGGAATCATGTCCTTATGGTCAGTATATAAAAGCTGCTGGCTATTGTTGTATTTCATGTTGTTCTTTTCTGGGAACCAAATGCTTAGTACTAGCAAAGCATCCAAGACCCTCCAAGAGGGTTGCTTCGCTCAAGCAGTGTCGGGCACCGTTGTTTGTTCATAAAAGAACCTCCTGGATGCTCCAGGTCCAATCGGATACCCGAAGACTCACCTGGACGAAAATGGATCACAGAAGGCCGAAGGCGAAGACTGCTAGCCTACGGCCTGTCACATGTGCGATCGGACCTGCAAGGTCTGGGATCGTTTCGTTCTCGGACCTGCAAGCGCTGCCGAACATGCTGACCGAACAGCTCGGATGCTTCATGGGACCAAGGAGCTCTGATGAGATGGTGGTGTTCGACAAGACCACCTTCATGTACAGGCTGAAACCTGCCTCGAGCGGCTGCAAAACAGCTCCATCCCGGTGGTGATGAGCCCAAACGTGGCCAAAACCATGTCAATTCACAGCGCATTTTGGGGATCAAACAATGACAGTCAATCGGATTTGCACGTGTAAAAGCTCGCCTTTGTTGGTGGCTTATTGTTCTATCTTTGCATTTCCTAAGATCCTTCTTGGACTGTTTTCGGCGGGGGTCGGACCCTCCATAGCGGGGGTCCGGACCCTCGAAACCCCTTCCATTTGAGGGCCCGGATTCATAGGGTCGTGAACATGTGTGAAGTTGCTTGATTTTTGCACTGTGCAAAGGTTTGCAGCTTCAGGATTTAGGGCGGTGACCAGGATGTGTTCACCGAGCTCGAACTGTCACAACTAAGACCCCAAGATCGTTATGTTGAATTGGAAGTACATTGCAATAGATCCCGGTGGCTGACATAAAGCCTCAACTAAAGTGGTTTATAGGTTTCTTCCCTCTACTCCCTCTACCCGTTCCTGTTCAGATTTCTCACTAGCAAAATAGATTGGAAAAACCATACCATTGACCATGGCTGACGCAACGATCATCGTGAATGGGAGTGACCATTGTCCAAAAAGACCTTTGGGCACATGTCTGCAGGGCTGTTCACTCCTCAGGGCTGAAGTCTCCGACCACTTGGGTGAAGAGTGAAGAGCCCATGTTCTTTGGTCGGCTGTTTCCCTCCATCTTCGATCCAGGGCTGTGGAGAACTGGCGATCTGGCGACCCTGGTGACCGACCGAACTGGTGTCGCACTGGTCCCCCATGTGTTAGGAAAATGAGGAGGGTGACAGCCTATGATCCTCTGGTGGTCTGGGTATGTCTGGGTCTACCAGGAGAGCGGATGGTATGCTGATTGCTGGAAACGATCCCTACACAAGGGACTCCTGGGTGTATGGACCTTCATGAGCACCCATCTTCTCTTCCGGATGCGTGACAAAGATCGATGACTCAAAAACACTCCCTCAGTCGAAGGCATGCCCCCGAAAGGATGACCATGTTCCTCTATAAACAGGTGGCTTTTCCACTTCCATGTGCTTTGTCTTTTCCGATTTCCAGAAGTGCCCCGATCGCCCCGGGGCGATCTGCCTAGACTGGGGAACGTGGCCAGGGGTCGGTCTGGCCCTATGTGATTACACTCTGACGAACACA